AAAATGCATAAGAGATGTTTGTCACTTGCCCCCCCCCCCCATCAGCTTGCCCCTTGGGATTTCAAACATTCAAATTAAATACTTTAAAAGCTTCCCCCATTCTGCCTTTCTCTTTGAGTGTTTGATTGGGACGCTCAGCCAAATCTGGAGCTCTCAGCTGCACCACAATACAATCAAATAACAATTAAAACTATACAGATATACTGCGGTCTTTATTTTAGAAACATTACTCAGAAACATCCATCCAACACAAAAATGAACACCTAATAGGCACTAAAAGCCAGGCATTCATGTCACACAAATGCCCAGGAAAACAAATAGGTATTTCTTAACTTTTGGGCATCAGGCAACACCCTCCCTGTTATCCTCCTTCTCCACACTAACAAAATACATTGCAAAGGACTTCCACAGTCCCATGGGGATATAGGGATGCACACCAGTGGAACAGATTGCCTCAGAAGGTGGTGGCCTCCTCATTGTTGGGTGGTATTAAGCAGAGCCTGGATAAGCATGTAGAGGTCCTCTAGCAACAGTTGTTCTGCACCGGCATCAGGTTGGAATAGATGGGAGTCAGGACCCTTCAGACTATGCAATTCCAACTTGTTGATGTCATCCTAACAGTAAGCCTCAATTGGCTGCAGGGAAGACAATTCTTCCCTGCCTGTCAAACAGTGCTAGTTAGGAACACACAGTGTCCCTAGTGTGTGGCTTGCAGCTGTAGCAGCATGCCAGATGTCAAAAGGAGCAGGGACAAGGATGCCACCCTTTGTTCCCTCTCAGCGCTACAAACAAAGGAAGCAGATGGGAAGCAGAAAGTTTAGGACTGGGGAAGCAATGAGAAGGCAATGATTTGGAGAATCAACAAGTTTGGAAATTTATGGAACAGACTCCCCCATAAGAGGTGAAACAAGTTCTGGTTTGGCTTGCAACAGAGCTTCTAGTACAGCAAGTCTTTTAGTTTGGAGGGAAATCGTCATAAAAAAGGGGCCACCAAGATCCCTGTGTCAAGCATAACATATAGTTCTGCCTCTAGCAACAAGTTGTGTCAATTTGCTCATGCATACCCTTGCTTTGCACACATGTGCACATACACGCACACACACATAGGTAGTGACTGTCATGAAACAGAAGATAGAGGCCCATTGAAAAATAGTGTTTGCCCCTTACCAAGTCTGCTACTGTAAAGAATATCATCTATTTTTGCCGGTGGGATGGCACCGGGCTTAAAATGCCACTTTTAATTTTAAAAAGAAAGAAAAAGAAAACCCATTTTAAAACTTCCATTGTGGCGAGAACTGCCTCCGGTCCTGTGAACTTTTAGGCTTCCAGTGTGTGAACAAAATAAATGTAGTTTCCTTTAAGTGCTCGGGTGGAACACTGAGTCATTTATTGTTTATACATTATTTTTACAAAAGAGCTATTTTTCTCTTTACAATAACAGCAGATCTGACATTAACCTGAGGCATGCACAGAAATTGTCAGACAAATTACTGTACTCCGCAGTCCTGAACGATTCCTGGTGTTGGAGAATAACAGTAATTTTGCTTGACAATTGACAGTTCTCGTAATGCCAGAACTGCATATAGAACCGTTCTGCAGCACATCTTCAGGTAATGCATGTCCTTATATTGTAACCGTCCTGTGACTTCACACTCAAAGGTTTGACCAGCCTTTGCCAGTCTGTTTTGGACTACAACTCTCAATCAGTCCCACCAGTGCAGCTGTTTTGTAGTCCACAACATCTGTAGGGCACCTGGTTGGGGAAAGCTGAGTTAGATGTTCTGGGGCATCCTGAGATTCCTCAAAGGTTTCCCAGATGCTTCTCAGTTGAGAAGCTTAGCAGATGTAAATGGTGGGTGCGCTTTACTTTAAAGTCTGCTTTTTTATTGCTGTGCTAGGTGGAAGGAAGACTGTAGCTTGGTGATAGAGCACATGATTCACACAAAAAAGGTCCCACAAATCAGAATAGACAATTCTGGACTTGCTGAAAATCTGTTCTGGGCTTGGAGACTGACTGGCCCAAAATTACCCAGTGAGTTTCTTAACTGAGTGGGGTTTTGAACCCTGGTCTCCCAGGTCATCACCCTCTACTCTAACCACTATGCTGGCTCTTTCGCAATTGTCTCCAAGATTGCAAAATAGCCTTTTGGTGGATACAAGTTACTGTGCTCAAAGAGCAAATCAGCCACATGAATCCAACTGGTGTTGGATTCACTGTAGCCATTACAAACATATCAACTCTTTGTTCCATCACCCTATTATCTGCACTGGTGAATAGGTAATACATTTCCTGTAAATTGACCAATGACTGTGACCTTTAGGACGATGGGGAAAGATGTTTACTACAAGCCTGTTCTACAAGATAGCAATTGAATGCATAGTGAAACAAACCCTCAGCTTCCTCTTTGCTATATGTACAGTAGCATGAATCACAGGGGCTATTTAGGCATGCTTGAGGAATTTTTATCTTTTGGAATTCTGATATGAATGGACCTTGATCTGCACCTGCTTGCTGGCTGGTGAGAACCCAGAGCCAACAGTCAGATTTCACACTCCTCCAAATGTTGTGATGGGTTTTTCCATTCAAAACGTCTCAAGATGCTTTTAAAAGTAGGCTTAGAAATCCATACTGTGAGAGAAACTACATTCAAAAATGTGTATTTAAATACTATTTGAATGCAATTTTTGTCCATTGCAGATCAATGCAGAAATGGGACAGACCTGAAGTAGACTAAACCCTAGGACTGTCCATTTGTGTTACTTAAAAGGGTAATATATCACCTCAAAGAGCAGGTCCCTGCTATAAGGAGTCTCTAGTAAAATTTTGACTGAGGTAGTAAGGAGACCACAAAATCAAGGGGAGAGCAAAGGTCTTAAAAATATAGAACAGGAAGGAATTGGAAAAGCAAAGGCAAATGCTTACCGACTTGATTACAGAGTTGCCACGCATAGCCAACCCCTCCTCCCTTTACACTGCACACAAACCTCACCTATTCCCTCACAGCCCAGACAATGCCCTTCCCCTCCCAGCCTGCCCAAATCCCCTTCCCTCCCAGTTCATTTCAAGCCCCTCCCCTCCCAGCTCATGCCAAACCCCTCCCCTACTCCTCACAACTCACCCAAGCCCCTCTCATAACAGTTCACTCAAGCCCCTCCCATTCTCACAACTCACCCAAGCTCCTCCCCTCACAGCTCACCCAAGCCCCTCCCCTCACAGCTCATGCCAAACCCCTCCCCTTCTCTTTACAGCTCACCCAAGCTCCTCCCCTCACAGCTCATGCCAACCCCTCCCCTTCTCCTCAGAACTCACCCAAGCTCCTCCCCACACAGCTCATCTCAACCCCAACCATCTGCTGTTGCATTTAATGGGGTGTCAGAAGAGGCATTTCAGGGAGCAGTTTGCCAAAGATGAAATCCCTCTCCAACCTTTCATGTACGTAATTTGAAGTAGGTATGCATGTATATGAGTGAATCATGGAAATAACCATTTTTTAGTACCAATTGCCTCTCCACCCCCACCCCCTTTTTAGGGAGAGGTTACATAGGTCACATGTTCACATTTCCTGCCCTTGTAGAAGCCAGTGTGCCTTAGGTTGCGTGTGCATCAGGGTTAATCTCCTTATGGCAGATGTTGGGAATCTTTCACCCTCCAGATGATGTTGAGCTACAACTCCCATCATGCCTGGCCACTGACCATACTTGCTGGGTCTGATGGGAGCTGCAACATTTGGAGAGCCAAAGTGCTCAGGGAAATCCCATAATGGCTATTATTCCTGCTTAGATGACCCTTGGGGTCTTTTCCAGCCCTACACTTCTTTGATTTTATAGTAATTTACATACTTTTATTGTTATTAATTTTTGTCAAGGTAGTCTGAAGCAACAGGTGAGAAAGGACCTTGGCCAACCTTTGGTCCGTTTTCATAGTATTAAGTACTGTGCAGTCAGAGACATTATCATGATTCTTCCACCTTGAAGCAACTAATTAGGTGTTTAATAGATTGTAGAAGTATTGGCGGCCCACCTACCAAGTGTGCAAAAATGCTGCAATTACATTTTTGACACCCCAATGCACTTATAAGTCACTCTACGTTCATTTCAGCAAATTACCCTGGGAGGGTTCCATGTTTTGTAAGTAAATGAGTCATATTTGAAACTACCTTTTATTTTACATTTCAGCATTTCAGAGCAATTCTCTCTGTGTGTGTTTTAATGAATTGCTTCTCAAGAGCTCCTAGATACTGTCTTGTTTTCAAATATAGCTTCGTTATTAATTTTTATACTAAAACCCCTGTTTGTGTGTGTCGCCAGAATTCTGAAAGGTTCTCAAAATGCTAACTATTTCATTTTCCTCTTCTGCGGCACAGTAACTCCCATTAAGTCTACACCATAGTATGCTCTACCCAAAGAAGAATGCCAGAAGAAAGATGGGGCAGCAATGTAGAGCATGACACTCTTAATTTCAAGGTTGGGGGGCGGGGTTTGAACCCCAAGTTGGGCAAAAGAATCCTGCATCACAGCAGGTTGGACTAGATAACACCTGCAGTCACTTCCAATTCTATGACCTGTTGGATCTGTGTGCAGTTCTCCCAGGTGGTCAGCATTTGAATTGCAGGTGGCAGTTTCTCAGTGAAATAACTTCAAGTTCTGGACTGACTCTGCCTACTCAGGTTGACCATTAGATCCTCCAGAACAGGAAGGAATAGAAGAGGAACGTCCTGTTCCAGTTGAACTTTGGCTGAGCAACAGGATGTTTCAGAGGTCTGGTGTGTTATTGCCTCTTTTGGTTGTGACTTTCCCCTGATCCTGCTGCCTGAAGGTTCTAGTCCAGACATAGGCAAACTTGACCCTCCAGATGTTTGGGACTACAATTCCCATCATCCCTAGCTAACAGGACCAGTGGTCAGGGATGATAGGAATTGCAGTCCCAAACATCTGGAGGGCCAGAGTTTGCCTATGCCTGTTCTAGTCTCATAGGACCAGCTGCTGCAGATGTTATCAGAGGAATGGCCATAGTTCAGTGGCAGAATGTCTGCTTTCCATGCATAAGGTCCAAGGTTCAATCCCTGCCACCTCCAAACAGAGCTAGGAATGTCCTCATCTCTGAAACCCAGGAAAGCTGCTGTCAGCCAGTGTGGGCAGTACTGAGGCAGATTGACCATTTGTCTGACTTAGTTTAAGGCAGTTTCCTGTGCTCCATTTGGAGCCAGCAGTGGCTAAATAGGCCCTATTCACTGGCGCTACACTACAGCAAAATCACTTAGACTGTCTAAAGCAGCATTATTTGATAACCAAAATCCTCCACAGAGAAGACGTTTTTAGTAGGCACATAGGATAATGGTCAAATAAATGAAGCCAGTTTTGTTTTGTTTTGGTGCTTTATTAACATCAGATTTGGAGTTTTCCTGTTTCAGGTCCATGGGAACTGTGTTGAGCAAAGAGGGCTGTGGATTAGGAGAATTAGTATTGAAAACGGAGCCCCTTTGCTTTTGAAGATGCCCATCTGGATCTGTTATTTAATACTCTGTGATGGCTAGAGCTCTGAGACCATTACCCTTTCTCTCCTCAGGCAAATTTGAAACATTAGATCTTTTTGCTATGCTACATTTCTTATTTAATGTTGTTTATGCCACAAAAGCCCTCAAACAGCACACTAAAGAAAGGTTGTGAAAGATGGGGGTGAACAAAGTAAATTACCAATTTCTCCCCACCCAAAATGAAAGATGAGCTAGTCCCAGGCCAGTAATCGGTGGTCTATTCCATGAAAGAATATTAAATCCTTATTTCCTTGGGGCTCTTTGTTTTTAACAAACAACATCCATTGAAAGAACATGTGGGGAAAGGGTTAACGCCTTCACCACTGAAAATCACTCCTGAGAGCAGTTGCAAGTCAGAGTAGACAATATCAGCTAATGGTCTGACTTAGTAGTGAGGGAATCTATGTTGTTCTTTTCTTGCTAGGTGGGCAAATTTGTAAGAAATTTCAGGGGAGTGGGTGGGTTGACTCAACTTGCAGATGAAAAGATAGAGGATAGCTATTTATTCTAATTTAAAAGAAGCCTCTCCAGGCACGTTCAGGATCTAGTCCAGGAAGAGGAATGCAGGTGGATCAAAGTCAGAAGGCTATTGAGATGGATGGGCTTGCCAGCCACTGTTTGCCGCTGGAGAGGCTTATTTTAAATCAAGGATAGGTAACCTCAGGACAATGGGATGAACATGACCCTCTGAGCCTCTCTGTCTGGTGCTGAGCCTCTTCTCTGGCCATGTATGACTTACATTGCAGAATGGGTAAGTAAAATAAAATAACAGCAACCGGCCATCCACAGTTTCTTCGAAACAACATTATATTCATTAAGCTGTTTGCTGCTTATTCAGCAGCATTGCCTCATCGTTTTCACATTATCGAGCACTTCTGTGAATCCAACTAGAAATATGTGACTGGAAGTATTTCATCCTGACGTCGTCCCCCCCTGTGCTGCTGTTTCTGGTTAGGGAGCGGGCTCTGAACACATCACAGCCTGGGATGCTCCAGCTTACCGTGGGGAATCTGAAACCAGAAGAGACCTACACCTTCCGAGTGGTAGCGTACAACGAATGGGGGCCAGGAGAAAGCTCACAGCCCATCAAGGTGGCCACACAACCCGAATGTAAGTATCCTTATTTGTTGGCAGTCATTTGTGTTTTCACATCTCTACAGCTGACCTTTATATGCACACTCCAAATGTTTATGAAATGATTTCTCATCATGGATGGGCAGCATTAGAATTCTCCCATTGGTTTCTGTGGCTGCACCTCCTCTGATTCTGGACCAGGTTAGTCTTAAGGAATGCATACATTAATTTCATTTGCATGTGTTCATAATGTTTGTTGTGTTTCATTTAGAGCAGAACAGGCATTTGTCTTGGGGTTTTAAATGTAGGGCGAAGATTTAAGTTGGGGACCAATCAACTTGCCAGAAACTTTTCTTTAAAAATCATGGGGTAAAATTCATGGGATGTTGGTGAGGAGGTGATGTGGGAAAGTTGTGAGGTGTAGTAAGATCATCGATCACCCTTTCCTTAGCACAAGGAGCTAAACAGATGCTGCAGTTATATTTTAAAGGCATGGGTTGCATAATGTGTGCCATCAGTGAAGATGATGCTTCTCATCAGCCTTTGGCAACCTGGTGCCCTTCAAGTGTTTTGCTCTACAACTTCCAGCAGCTCCAGCCAACACATGAAAGCTGTTGTCCGAAACATCTGGAGGGCACCAGGTTGGCAAGGGTTGTTTTTCCAAGTCCCATCTCCCATTCTCCTTTCTGGAGCTGATCATTGCTGACCTGAAAACTTTTTCCGGATGGGTTACTTGAATTGGGAGATCCATGTGCATGCATGATTTTGTGAATAAAAAGAAGTGCCTCTTCTTTCCTCCTTTCACAATAGAGAGATGTATAAAGCAATGCAGGGGTAGATTGGGTATCTGTATGGAAATGGATAGGGAAACTGTTTTGGGGTATGGGAGCTCTTCTGTGCACTTCAGAGCAACCATGCCTAGAGGAGACATGTGAATTGGGTCAGTCCAATGAAGAACGCAGAACTAACAAAATCCTTGAGCATCTTTACTGGCCTCACATTGCGCCTGACAAAGCCACAGTGTGGGGATGAAGAGAAAGGAGGTTTTGCATTATTGCCCCTCCAAAGGCTCCAAGGCAGAGAGAGGAAGGACCATCTGATTGCATTTGCCTGGCCCACTATATATATATATATGTATATCCTTGACGACATTTGCATGCTACATTTAAAGCACTTTGGTACCACTTTAACAGTCATGGTATCCCCTAAAGAATTTTGGGAGCTGTCATTTAACATGGTGCTGAGAGTTGTTAGGGAAAAAAACCCCTCCCCTCACAGAGCTACAATTCCCAGAGTTTGCTGTGAAAATGGATTGATTTTTAAGTCACTCTGGAAGAATACTTTGGGATAAGCCATGGCTGTTTAAAGTGGTATCATAGTGCTTTCAATGTGTGGGCTCTAGTTACATCACCCTGGAAACTTTTTGTTTAGACCCCTGTTAATTTTGGGCAGGGAGGGGCTCCCCACCCCTTGTGACAAAATAATCTCCACTCTATCAAACATCCTTCATTCTATGCATAATCTACCAGCTTTGGCCTCTGCCCTTTCCTGACGTAATCAGTGTGCATTGCCAATTGAATGCCAAGGTTCCTTGTATTATTTTGAAATACCAAAAGTGTGATGCAAATTATCCCAGTTGAGGATTAATAGATGATGGAAAAGAGCATCCAAAACACACACCCCTTACTCTCTCTTTCTAACAGAATAAAATGTGTGCATTCTCTCCAGCTGTAATCAGTTTAAAAGATCAGTACAAGTTCCAGCTCTTCAAATAATTATTCTGACTAGAAGGACTAGATTTATATGAAGGGTGGTATGTGTGTGTGTGTGTGTGTGTGTGTGTGTGTGTTGCTGGATTAAGTCTTCCCATTTCTCTTAATTATTTAGCTGAAGCCTGCCCACTTTCACTTCCACTCGCTCTCACGCTGTATAATTCTACTACCATATTATCAATCAGGATAGAAATCTCTTGCTGTTTTAAGATTATCTCATCTTTTTCACCCTGTATGAGGATCATATGCGAGCTATAGCTGTGGTTCTTCTAAGAGGCTGCAAAAGGTTGCCAGAGAACAGAGGGCACCAATTTCTATCTTGTATAGCTGCGGGTACCAATTTGAATTTCTAAGGCAGCTTGCCTGGACACAGGACAGCTCCGAGGGGTGGTGATATGAAATCTTTGAGAGAAATAATCTCTGTAGGGAGAAAGTGTCAACAGAAGCCTGAGGTAAGCTGATCAAGCCTGGAGTGCAATAGGCTCCTTTGCCGTGAGGGAGCTGGCTGGCTGGTCAAAGGACCCTCACCTTTTTTTGGTAGTCTTTGCTTTCTGCCAGGATGAGGAATCATAGAATCATAGAGTTGGAAGAGACCACAAGGGCCATCGAGTCCAACCCCCTGCCAAGCAGGAAACACCATCAGAGCACTCCTGACATATGGTTGTCAAGCCTCTGCTTAAAGACTTCCAAAGAAGGAGACTCCACCACACTCCTTGGCAGCAAATTCCACTGTCGAACAGCTCTTACTGTCAGGAAGTTCTTCCTAATGTTTAGGTGGAATCTTCTTTCTTGTAGTTTGGATCCATTGCTCCGTGTCCGCTTCTCTGGAGCAGCAGAAAACAACCTTTCTCCCTCCTCTATGTGACATCCTTTTATATATTTGAACATGGCTATCATATCACCCCTTAACCTCCTCTTCTCCAGGCTAAACATGCCCAGCTCCCTTAGCCGTTCCTCATAAGGCATCGTTTCCAGGCCTTTGACCATTTTGGTTGCCCTCCTCTGGACACATTCCAGTTTGTCAGGAGATCGAGGGACTAGAGAGGACTTATCCTCTGAGTCAGCGGATGGAGTCAGAGCTATGCCCTCTGACCAGAAGGACACAATACTTAAGTGTCCCGAATTAAGCAGGACATTACCGATTCACAGAAGTGAATCCGCTTCTGTTGGAAGTACATGATGTCTTGTTTTCGCTGCCTTGTCTCTGCCTCCTCCTCCTGCTCTGGGGTGGCCTGCCACTGCCATAATGGCTGACCTCTGCCACTGCCATATTCCTGGAAGCGGGCACAGCACATCCAGAAGCACACCACTTCCCGTGGCCAGTAGCTTAATAATGATGATGATGATGGACGTGGGTGGCGCTGTGGTCTCAACAGAAGGTTGGCAGTTCGAATCCCTGCGACAGGGTGAGCTCCTGTTGCTCGGTCCCAGCTCCTGCCAACCTAGCAGTTTAAAAGCACACCCAAAAAGTGCAAGTCGATAAATAGGTACCACTCCAGTGGGAAGGTAAATGGCTTTTCTGTGCACTGCTCTGGTTTTGGTGTTCCGTTGTGCCAGAAATGGCTTAGTCATGCTGGCCACATGATCCGGAAAAACTGTCTGTGGACAAACGTTGGCTCCCTCGGCCTGTAAAGCGAGATGAGCACCGCAACCCCAGAGTCGTCTGTGACTGGACTTAACTGTCAGGGGTCCTTT